TGTCTCGAAAAGCCAAAAAAAAAAAAAAAAGAAGTGTTGCTGTGGGCTGGAGAGATGGCTCAGTGGTTAAGAGCACTGGTTGCTCTTCCAGAGGACCTGAGTTCAATTCCCAGCAACCACATGGTGGCTCACAACCATCTGTAGTGAGATCTGGCGCCCTCTTCTGGCGTGTGGGTATACATGGAGGCAGAATGTTGTATACATAATAAATAAATCTTAAAAAAAAAAGAAGTGTTGCTGTTTTACCTTGCCTGCCTAATAAAAGGCCTAATAAAAAGCTAGGCAGGAGAAAGTATGGTGGGGCTGGCGGGCAGAGAGAATAAATAGGAGGAGAGATCTAGGCCAGAGAGAAGAAAGACGAGAGAGAAGGAGTGGATGGGTAAGAAGCCAGGCAGATGCCAGGCAGCAGACATCGAGCACAGAAAGTAAGATATACAGGAGTTAGGAAGGTAAGAAGGTAGACAAACAGGTTAATTTACGTTAAAAGAGCTAGCTAGAAATGTGTCTAAGCTTCTGTGTTGTGATTTGAGAGCTGGTTGGTGGCTCAGAAGAACAAACCTAGTACAGGATTATTTCTTCTTTTTTTCTAGCCTGGTATCCCAGGCTGACCACGAGCTCATGTTAGTAGCTGAGGACGGCCTTGGAAGTCTACTCTCCTTACTGCAGGGGTCACCAATGTCCAATTCATGCAGGGTTAGGCTAGACCCTTGATAGGCTGTGTTCTGAAAGTGTTCAAGTTTGCCCTGGTGTTGTGGGGACTCCCAGTGCAGACTGTTGCCTCAGAGACACAGTCTCAGGATAGGCTTGATCTAAGCGATCTTTGGAGCCCTAGGTCAATGGCTCGGTATGGCAAACATGAGGCTAGGAACAGTTGAGATGAGCTTTGGTTTTATTTTTTTATTATTATTAATTTGGTTCCTCCATGCTCAGGATTTTGCCTGGGAGGAGTGTATTGGCACTTGCTTGACTTCTCAGCTACTTCAGAGGCAGACGCAAGAGGGTTGAAACATCCTAGCTAGGACATAGGGAGGCCTTGTCTCAAAAATACAGCAAAACAAACAACAACCAAACAGCTTTTTTAAAAGAATGTATTGTTTAGGACTGGAGAAAGGGCTCAGTGGTTAAGAGCACTGACAGCTCTTCCAGATTCAATTCCCAGCACCCACAGGGTGGTTCACAACCATCTGTAGCTCCAGTTCCAGGGAATCCAATGTACGCTGTCTTCCGACCTATGACCCATGAAGGCACAGGAAACACTCGAACTATTAAAAACAAAAGCCCAGTGCTGGGGAGGCAGAGGCGGGTGGGTCTCTGGGAATCTGAGGGCAGCCTTGACATTTTACTGAGCCGTGATCCCTTTAATAATGCTCTTATTCTTTTTATTTTTATTTTGTTTGTTTGTTTGGGATAACCTCTTATATAGCTATGGCTGGCCTGGAACTTTCTATGTATACCAAGCTAGCCTTGAACTCATAGAGATCCCCCTGCCTCAACCTCCTGATGCTGAAAGGGCTGCAGCTGAACCAAGGTCCTCCATTCTTCTCCCACTTACAAGCCTGTCCCTGGGAGAGGTCGGCAGCACCAAAATGCAGGCCTCCCAGGGAGGGTCTTCCTCTAAGGTCTGCATCTGACAGTCTTCTCCAACAGATGGAGATGCTGCAAAAGTGGGGATGGCTTCAGCCTCACCTCTCCGGACCCAGGGCTTCTACTTGAAAGAAAGCCAATGGAAGGAGGGAGTGTGTGTGTGTGTGTGTGTGTGTGTGTGTGTGTGTGTGTGTGTGGTGTGGCCTACCTTCCCTCATCAATGAAGTCGATGGCCAGGGTACTGATGATCAAGACACACAAACCCGCGATGAACATGTGGTAGATGGTTCGGAAATGCTGCACCTCCATCAGCTCACTGGAAGGAAGGAGCCCGAGGGTCAGGGTGGAAGGCTCTTCAGCAGCCTGCAGGAGCTCAGGAGCTTGGGGCCCCGAATCCAGAGCTCCAGCCGAGGGCAAGCCTGTGACTGGGGCATCTCCTCTTGCTGACTGGCCCGCCTCGCTAACACCAGGGCAGAGCCCTCCCAGACCCTCCCAGCAGAGCACGGAAGCCCGTGACATCTGTGGGACCCCCAGCCAACCCTTCTCTTCTTATCCTTTGTCCTCCCCACAACTTACTCGAGCAGTGACTTTCGGGTGATAAAAACCTTCCGCTTCACATGGGGTAACTCCCGGGTCCTAGATTGATTGAAACATTGTTCAGAACTAGACCCCAGAGAGCGAGGGTGGAGGGTGGAGGGCAGTGGCGTGCAGAAGGTAACAGGGAGCGACAGTGGCAGCAGGTCTGGAGGGGTCACTGCCAGACCTGAAAGGTGGAGGCCAGGGCTTTGAAGACCGGGCACCAAGGCTGCCAAGGAAGAGCACCTATGGGACCCTCAGACTCACTTGCTTGTAGTATCTGGGGCAGTGGAGGGCAGAGGTCTGTCTTCCTGCGGGTAGGCTTGCACAGCCTCCCACATGGCTCGATCCAGCAGCTCTGCCAGCTGTACCTGTGCCTGCTCCAGAAACTGCGTCTTCACAGCCTGCAGGACAAAGTCAGGTTAGGGCTCACTGTCCCTCCCGGCAGCCATTCCTTCCTTACCGCGCGTGTTTCCTGAGCTCTCTGGACCACAAAGTGTTCAGTGCTAGGAACAGGAAGAGGTAAGAATGGCCCCAGAGCTTCCCCCAACATCTCTGTCTTCTTGGGGCAGCCGTGAGGACAAGGAACCTCCTCAGAGGCTGAACATGGCAGCATAACGCTTGAAACCCAGCTACTTGAAGGCCGAGGCAGGAGGATGGTAAGTTTTAGTACAGTTTGAGTGAGGAATTCATCTCAAAGAAGAAAAAGAATGACGGCAGGAGGGAAGCTGTGAGACCACCGCCTCCAACCCTAACCTCTGAACCGTAGCCATGCTAGCGGGAAGACCTTGCCAGCCCAACCCTGCCCCTCCATCTTAGCCCAACTCTCTCTCTCTCTCTCTCTCTCTCTCTCTCTCTCTCTCTCTCTCTCTCTCT